AGCTGCAGGATGAGAACTTCGACAATCTGTGCTTCGGTCGAAGAGAGCACAATCAGGATGCTTCATGTTAGTTACTGCTAACTCCCGCTCCCCTCTGTCCCTGACCGCTGCGCGTGCACATGTGCTGGTGCAGGAAACAGACATTCTCTGCGAACGCAGGTTACGAAGCGACTGAGCAATGGTGAGAAAAGTCCGCTTCCACGGTTCTTGTAACGGCTTGCCCGGACAAAAAGGCCAAAGAAAGAAAGCGGGAGGGATAAAAAGGCGGCTAACAACAAGGCTCTGGATAAAGCAGAGGTCAAACCAGTGTCAACATCTGGTGTAGCTTTTGAGCGGTAGAAGACAACCTGAGGGATCAGAAGTGCTGAAAAGTGATGCGAGTTTGCTCTTTTCTTGCTGGACAGCTTAATTATTTTTTTGCTTTGGGGATGTTTTTTTTTCATGAAATATGTACTTTTCACTACGTCGCTCTCGGTATGTAGTTGTATTAGCGTAATTTGCGTAACGTTGCTCTTCCTCCGTTCCTTCTCTCTGCGCTTCATTTTCGTGGTGTGCGCTGGGCAGTTTGTGGGGGCGTGGTTGGGGACCGACCACTGACAGGATGGGGGAGGGGAGGGCTGCACCATGGAGCCAATCAGAGGGGCAGGGGCGGTGTATTTTCAACTTGCTAGCTCTTCGCTTAGCTTTCCAAGATTACCAACGCGGTACCATACTAGATTGTTTTGTTTAAAAACGGCAGTCTTTACCTAAATTTAAAGCTGTAGTGATTTTTTTATGAAAATATTATATAGAAGGATATCTTTCCCACATGTGACAGTTATGGTTCAACTTGTAGTAAGAGGGTTCATCGTGAGGGGACTCAGGGAATACAGTCCATCATTAAGGTAGTACATCATCATTCTGTCAGGACTGTTCTCCACAATGTCTGGAAAAAGTGCACACAAAGTAATAAAAGTTACTAAAATGGCAACTAGATCTGTCAAATATGCAATTTAAAAGATGTTAAAAATAATGGGAAAATAGAAAAATTATCGATGGTCCTCAACACAGATCAAAGTGAGTGAACTACTCAGAGGCTGGGAATGGCTACTGTAGTAGTGTACCAGACACATCTGATATTCACCCACCCCTCTTTTATTTTAAATCAAGATACATTTAAATTAAACTGCACTTTGTATAGTTCTGACATTTATGTGATGATACTGGATAAAGAACAGATCTATACATTACCACTGTGTTCCGTATCATCGACGACTCTTTTGGCAATGACGTTTGCTGCCAGTGTGAAGGATGATTCCACATAGTATCGGCCTGGCTCGGCGATGATCTCCACCTCACTGTCAGAGGGGAAGTATTCATCCAGTGCTCCATTAATGACTTCTGAAAACTAGGAAGGCAAAACACAATAGGTTCATAAGGTCATCAAAAGTGGAAGGATGTGGATTTCTGCATAGAAGGGGCTGATACCACCCACTCTTGTTAAATTAAATAGGTAAATATGTATAAACACAATAATTTATTAAACAGATAATAAAGGCAAAACAGATAAAACATACAATACAAAGTCTAACTAAAAAAGGAACTAAGTAAAGGAAAAAGGTGTTTAAACACTGTTCAAAGCTAACCTGAGGATGGTTTGTTACACAGAACGATCTGGGGACTCTTGACAATAAAATTGTTGTTGTAGTTATTTGAGTCATTACAATGCATTACAACAGTAAAAGTGCGTTCTTTATTTGACCTCTTCAAATGTGACTTTGAAGTCATTTCTCCCAGTGAAACCTCCTCCATTGTCCAAGAGAGTCATCTGGAATCCCAACGAAATCTGAAAAACATATCAGTACCACTTTATAGTAAGGCACCATTTACCAAGGGTGTAGAAGTTGTGATATGGAGAGAAGTGTTTGTGACAAGCTCAAACCAGTGTGTAACATTTAGGAGGATAATATTAACAGGTATGTTGTCATTAGTGTTGTTGTGTTTTTGTGAACTTAGAATGAATTGTGTACACAAGGAGTGGGTTCTACAGAGTCTACCATGTGGAATTACCATGATCCTACAGTAGCCTTTAATGGACAAACCAAACACTGGCTGTACATGGGGCCTTCTGTCAGTTTTGCGCCCACCATAGTTTCTCCTACTTGCTGGGAAGGTGAGTGGTATTCAGTTGGTTGCAATCTGCATCTTCACTGCTAGATGCCACTAAATCCTATACACTGGACCCTTAACTGTGGTGGCTGCGACAAATGAGTCACAGAGGTAAGGGCAGGGGCTTGTGCAGTAACCTTGAATTAGAACTAAAATGTAGTTGTCAGGTATTAAACACAAATTTAATTGAGAATTGAAGCCATGGGCAAAATTTAAAAAACTAAAATATCAAATTATGATAAAAGGGCACATACCTACAGGGGCATTTCAAGATGAAGTGGGACACTGAGGGTGCCATGACGTATGTGTCTCAGCTTTCTAGTCATTCCCAATTTTAATTAGAACCCTAACACATTTATACCATATGCCATATGGTTTTTGCCCAAAACTGTGTGGGATTAGCATAGAGTGAGCATATTTGGAGACTTGTGAGTACTCATAGAACCTATTGGAGGTATGAGGTCAAGGGATGGCCACTGCTACTTTTCCCGTCGACAAAATGTATTTAGCTCCCTTCTGGACATGATAGCATGACATAGTTGGTACCAATGAATGCGTCAATGAATGCGTCAACAGTCCATCCGAGTGGTCTCCCAGGAGAATTAAAGACCTAGCTGAATGGATGAATAAAATGCCATCGAGGAGGAGGACAAACACCAGCCTTTTTCACATTTTTTCTTTAAAAAGTAGAACAGTATTAAACGTAAAATTTAACAGTATTTGGTGCTTAACCTTTTAAAAATCTTTATATCTTCTTTAAGAAAATGCTAACCTGCTAACCTGCTGCCCTGCTGTACTTTCACACAATGTCCAGTACAAAGAGGTAGCAACTATTCTTCCTGCAGTCCGATCAAGCTTATGGCCACTGCAGCTTTCTCTTGAGACAGAGGATTTAAATCTAAACTGTAAGTCATAACAAAAAACTTGATCAATGCCCTACTTTTAAACGTGTGAATGTTTAAACATGTGAATGTTTAAAAGTAGGGAAAGCATATCTTTATAATGTTCTGTTTCTACGACGATGACTTACCGCTATGTCAAAAACATGTCGGGCATCTGCTATGGCCTGTTTGAATGCCGAACTTTCAGTGCACCCGCTGCCTACATGGAAGCTGACCCCAATGACATCCAGGTCCAGCTCCCGAGCACGCTCCAGCAGCTTATCCACTGTCCACAGTCTGGCTCCAAACTTTGAACTTAGTCTTATCACCGCGCCAGTGTCATCCACTGCGATGCGGAGTAGCAGTCTGGAACATAATTCACAAATAATAATCAATACTATTAATTTACACTAAAATGTAGAAGCAAAAATTTTAGTAGTTGTTCTCTTACTTGGCTGTAGGATGACAGAAAGAAATTTTTACGAGTTCATCCTCACTGTCAAAAGTCATCATATTTACTCCATGAGTACGGGCATATTTGATGTGCGACCGTGGTTTGGTTGTGTGTGCATAAATGATTTTATCCGGTGATACTCCGAGGGACAGGGCCAGCTGAATCTCACCCTGTTAGAACAAAACATGTTTCATGAGAACAAAACCTTTCTCAATAAAAGACTTACAGTGTTTCCCATCAATTACCTAGACTATTTATATATTTTCACACTTCTCTCTAACATTGTGTTATGCGCCACAAAGCCTCTCTCACTCACAGTACAAAAAGTAAGCAATCGATTAACTTAATTAACTATCGACAAACGGCGCAGATACAGTGTTTATTTTACCATTTGACCTGAGGGTTGTACTACGAAGCGAGGTAACTGTTTTTTCCAGGTAACTTCAGGAGTATCTCTGTGATGTCAGGTGTAACTTCCAGGTTAACTTGTACTATAAAAGGTGAATAAGTTTTACCCAAGTTATGTTGTCATGGCAAATTACTCTCCATGTCTTTGTGGTCAACTTGATGTTACCCTATGAACCACTCTCCACCACCCATAATCTTGTGGAAAAAATGCCGGCTATTGAGAGGCTCACTGCTGAGGGCAAGGGTAATCAGAATCCTCTAATTTACTGCCATGATGTTCTCTGTGAAATATATTGATTCTTATCTGAGGGACTTCAGTATCTCTACCAGCATCTAGGGTCAGAATGCATTTGTTATGTGCCCATGTAATCCTTCAAGATCAAAGAGGCTTTTTATACAGTCACAGGTAATTCTCAATGTAGAAATACTTTTTAAAATACAGGCTAGGCCTATATACAGAACACTTTATGCCCAATGAGACCAGAGGGTAATTGGTGCGACTTATTGGACACTTATTCTAACAGTAGATTTTACACATTTAACACAGGTAGCCTTCAGCCTGCTCTAGGGAGTAGATTTTAATTTTAATTCAGGGTTTAAAGTTCTCAGGCACCATGCCAGATTCTGACATAGAGCAGTTTTAAACTCATATAATACTTAATTCAGTGCATTGTATGTATGTATGTATGTACACTTCCTGCTGGATAACTTTTCAGGGTGAATTTCTGAGATATTATTTTCGTGACCAATTTAATCTTTTTATTTACGGCAGTCGTATTAAATCATATCAAAAATAAAAGAAGAGTTTGTAAGAGAAAAATAGAGAGCCTACGACATGAATTCTATAATGTTGCTTATTTGTGTCGACAGTGCACAGCCAAAAACCCTCCCTGTCATTGCTTGCCCCTACTACAGTGAGATTAGACCGTTAACTTTTTTTAAACTCCTCATATCCTGATATTATCATTGTACATTCTTCTGGGGAAAATACGGAGCGTGAGCCATTATGAAAAAAGTCTTTATGCAAGCGTACAACCTCAGATTAAGTTGACACCGACTCAATTTACTTAATCTTAATTACCATCATAGTACCGTTTAACACCAGTGTAGGCAATCAGAGTTTGTCAACCCGGATTTTCCTTGATAACCCTGAGTTAAATCTGAGTAGGTTCAACTCCCTTCATAGTACATACACCCTCTGTTAAGGAAGAATACGTCAGCTGTTCCCAATGTCATTCATTACCATGTTGTTTTCTATCATTATTATAGGCTCCATCACTAACAACGAACCTCTTCCACACTGCTCACCTGCTGATATTAAAACGGAATCATGGGTGTAAACAAATGCAAGTTGCGATTTTTAGTCGACTTCCTAAAAGTTACTACTAAAGAAAGTCAACAGAGACACAAACAGACAGAGATGAACAGAGAGAGGCGCAGCAAGCCGGTGTGTGTGAGAGAGACACACAGACACACAAATAAGTAGGTGTTTTTCAAAGGCTCCCACCCCCCACACTATCTTTAAAACACTTCACAGTACCTTGCTAGCACAGTCAAAACCTGTGCCCAGAGCAATCATCATCCTCAAAACCGCTGGTGAGCTGTTGCACTTCAGTGCATAGAAAGGCTTGACTCGAGGTAAGTTAGTGAGCCATCTCAGGTGCTTCTTAACCATATCATCTAGATTTGCCACATAGAATGGCTGTTCACTGTCCTGAATGAATAAAGAAAAGTAAATTTTAGTTTTGAAAAAGCACTATTTTCATCGAATCTCAACTGTCTTACAATTCTTTTACACATTTATAGGTTTATAGTTAGAAAAGAGTCATGATACCTCTGATACTCACCTCTGAACCAAGCTCTTGTATTTTATTGTCTATGAAATCATTGATGGTCCTTCCATTGTCTAAAATTTCAATGTCACAATTCTCAGGGGACAAAACGTTCAAGACTGATCCATTTGTAGTTACTGGTGATGCAAGGGATGACAAAAGCATACAATTAATAACTGTAAGTTTACATTTACAAAAACAGAACCAGATCACATAAAAAATTATTATTGCTTGTATAAATCCTTTTTTCACACCAACACAGGGCTTATAGAAATGCAAGTCTGACAATGTTGCGGTGCCCTGGGAGCAGTTAAGGGTTCAATGCTGCGGAAGTGAACTGGCACCTCTCCAACTACCCATCTAAACAATAGTGTGGTCCATGCTGGAAACCAGCCTCCCTCCAGTTCCAAAATCCCTATGGATTAAGCAACTGCTGCCCCATAAACCTCATATAGCATTCATGGCCGCATTTGCCTCAGATATTACATCACATTAAACATCACCCTGAGAGGATTTATCTTTGTCTTACCACAGGCTGCAAGCTCCTCCATATTTGGGATCTCAGAAAATGGCAAAAATTTTCAAATGAGTCTAAGTATTATCACAGCTTTCCGTTGAAGCAGAACTGGAAGTAAATTCTCACATAAGTTTGAAGTGAAATAAGACAGACGTGTATGCTGGTTTTGTTTGCACACCAGTGACATTTCCCCACCTACTTTGTTTGTTAGCACATCAATTACTTTTCCCCGCCTACTATGTTAAAACAAACAATTCTTTGCCTTGGTTCCCAAGTCAGTTAACATGCAATCCTCTTATTTCACAGTGCTTGACAGTATGTTATTTGAAACATCTCTGAATAAAATGCAGCCCTGTGCAACACTATACTACAACAAAGTGTATGGTATAGATTGTATAGGCATACCCAAAAGTGGCCTCTGTGTACACACATATACCATTGTAACCAATTTCTACAATGAAAGGCACTGGCCTAACCATAGGGAGTGTCCTCAGGGACCAAACTACATGCTATTTAATGAAATTAAATGCACAGGTTCAAGTGCAGTTGAGACAACACAAAAGTAAACCTTCACGGGTCAGATCACTCATTTACATATCACTGACCTTATATCTAAGTTGACATAGTAGAGTTAATGTTGAGTTTTCCTTTCCATTATCTGCAAGGCAAACAGGACCTCTATTTTGGGTCAACACAGTTAGAAAATGACAATGCATCCTAAATTAGAGGAGAAAGTAAATTAGGAAAAAATGTTTGAAAGTGTTTAAATTTTAAAATGTTCTCTATTTATTAAATATAGGGGTTGGCTGATTTAATGTTTGGCTGGTAAATGCTGCTGTGCTTACTCTTGGGGATGTAAATCGATACAAACACATGATTCTGGATACAATTAGAGAGGATTCCCAATTAGTTAAAGGCTTTGGTTTGCCTATGGTTTGAAAAATGGATTGCAAGACCAGTCCATCAGTTCCATACATAACAAGTAATGTTGGCTTGAAAATCAGTTTTTTATTATTCTTTTAATCATTGATTGAGTTACTATTACTTGTTTTGTTTTGTTTGATCAATAAATACATCACTGCAAACTGCAGTGCAAATGCAAACCTAAACATTATTATTTAGTCAAATAATCACAAACGCACTACAAGGGCAAAATATATTTTAAGTAAAAAGCTTTTTGTTTTTAATCTACAAAGGGGAGGGAGAAGATCAAATAAGCTATTTAAATATTTAGAAGCTCAAATGAATTATTCAAATATAAGCTAAAGGTACACCCTAATCCCCACAATCTACAACTGACACGAGAGACCGCGGCAGAAGAGTCACTAAATTAGTTGCTAGTCGCTTTTTAGAAATAAAGTCGGTCTAGCTCTCTATGACTGATTTTGTGTGTTTAAGCACGTGTGTGATGTAGTGTAGAGCTTGTGCCACCTCACATTTCTAGAATTTGAACACCTACCAGCTGAAATGAGGTTTATTCCACAATTGCCCACAGTTAGTCCTTAGTGTCCCAGGTGCTACTGTCCCCGGGACATCCTTAATTCCAAGTGCCGCTGGGGGGAGGGGTATTACTGTTCTGGGTTATATCATTTTGAGTTCAAGTTGTAATTTGCAACAGAGCTAAAAGAGAGTGAAACAGATTTCAATATAGTGAAATCGAGTGTAAAATTACAACCAACTATGGCCACAAAGTTTACCAGACTTTGGTCTAAAGCTCTGTTTGCATAGTGAGTGTTTATTGTAGGGCACTTATGAGTGTGTATATAGAACTGTCAAAAGCCAAATCCATACATGCGAGAAATGTCCAAGTAAATCAGTCACCCTGGAAAACTTACCGGTTTTGCAGTATGCAATTACTGTGCTTGTGAAACTCACTTACGTCATCATCTTTTTCCTGCCTCGGGCCTGTGCACAAACTCCTTCATGCTTTAAGCTATAAATTCCTTTCAAGCTCCCCACTTTGCATCTACTTCTGGATGTCCGTGCCACTGTTGGTTTTTGCCTTCAACGCTGTTTTTATTCTCTTCTCACCATATGTTTCCATAAACGAGTGAAATATTCAGACCAGCTTACGTTAAGGGGAATGTAAATGTCAGTATTCATTGAAACAGAATCTAAGAAATACTGAATATGATGGTGGTATTCACTGCTTTGACTTCTTGGCATGATGATTAAAATGTGAATTCTGCTTTTGAAACAGATTGTTGTTTAAGTAGGCTACATTTGAATTTACAGGTAAAAATGTTTGTGGGTAGACGTATATAGATATACCGTGCACACATTAACTATTTATCTAGAGTTACAGAGAATACAAGCAGGCAACCACTTGAGACACAGTTTTCAATTGTACAAAACCTGATACTGCTTTGCTGTTAGTGTTACACCAGTGCTCCTCCAGTACACTACAGTGATGACTGCTTAATGTAGATTGCATCCAGGTTTACCCTCAGGTCAGTGTTCTTCATTCATTTACAACTGGCATAACTTTTTTTTATGTTTTGTGACCTCCCAGCTGATTTTCTACAATACAATAACATATCCCCCAAGGCTTTTACTATTTGGAGGTATCAATAGCTCTGCGCCGCTTTTACTATTTGGAGGTATCAATGAGTTGACTGAGAAGGGTAATCAGCGAGTATAAATAATTCATGCTATGTATGAAGGTCAAGGGCCTCAGGTTAGGTGTAGGAGTGCAGCTGAAAGCAATATCCTGATGCTGCTTAGCTTTATAATGTAGGTCACATGGTGTTTGTTGCTTTGACCAATCACTTTAGATTTACATTACAGAAAAAAAAAAAAACAATGTCCATGATTTGATCAACATTATGATAATGTCAGCAGATCATTACTGAGGTCAGAAGAAAACATGGCTCCAAATATGAGAACCTCAAACTAGGACTAAAAAATGTGATAGTTCAAATTGATAAAATAATTGACGTCCTTAGGCTACAATAGAATTCATTTCATAGGAGCACTTTTCTATCTACGAAAGGAATGAGTTTCCCTGCTCTGGGGACCGGCCTTATATTATACGTCTGCTATTAGATAGTAGTCTGCCTTGAACAATAAAAGGAACAGGTATGTCAACCGTGTTCACATTCAAAAATGCATTCAACTAAGAAGATAAACATCTCCAGCAGAACACTCCCTGTCGGTTGCTTGAAACTGGCTTCTAGATTGTTATGATTTCCCCTGTGTGGAAGGTTGGGGCGACCAATAAGAAAATAATTTGCTCCTAAAATCGAAAAGGTCACAGGTTTGATTGTGGTGACTGCAAGTGATTTGTTGAACTCTCCTCTCGTGGGTTAATGAGCTCTGCTCCTGGCTGGTGCACTGCCGTGACCTTTCGGCCTAAACCCATATGAGTTTACGGACCTTACATGACTGTCTAACGTCCATCTGAAGTGAAAAGGAAAAGCTGGCAATAGTATATTTATACTCACCGAGAAAACTGCATTTTGGAGCCCAAAGGGTATGGGGGTGAGTCTCGCTAAGGCCACAACTTTGAGTCCACTTCCTCCTTCCACCACTCGTATGACAGCACTGAGCTGTTCACTGTTTCCAACTTTGTTCAGCACCCAGTCAGTCAATAGTCGTTTGCACACCAGGTGTGCCACAAAGGTTCCTATTAAAACTCCCACCATAACTAGTCCCATTCCCAGCACAAAGCCGTAGAGGTAGCCAGCTGCCACATTAAGAACAATGTATCCCCATCCACACGGGAACGACACGATAATCAAACCAACTATAAACAGCAGGGCTCCGACGAGGCTGTCCAAGCTCTCCACCCAGAGCAGGAGGTCCTTGAGGTATTGGCGCACGAGGGCCACCGAGGAGAAGCACACAGCGGTTAGGATGCATGCCAGCAGGGCGCTCTTGAAGCAAAAGGTGGTGATACAGCATGGGTGTCTGAACTCTCCACTGTTGCTGAAGGTCGTCCCCCCTGTGGCGCTGATAACCTCGGGGTCTCCGTCTGACTTCCCAATGCCGGCCCCTGTCTCGTCAAAGGCGCTGCATATCAGGATGTCAATTTTGTCACACTCGTCTGTGGCAGTCCTCTGCAGCCAGCGGTTCAGCTGAATCTGTGCCTTGCCCACCGCATGCTTGACAAGCTTGGTGAAAAGCTGCACGGTCGTGGACCCTGACATTGACATGTTGGCCCCTCAATAGGCTCTGGGGACCGGCAGCAGGGCTCAGGAGAACTGTCCAACCCGGTGACAGCTGTGACGTTTGAGATTTCCAGACAGCCTTTAAATCCAGCGCAAGTCCATGTCTAGCAATATCAGTTCGTTGAGCTTCAACAGAGGCAAATATTTATGCACTTTACAGAAGATGGCTTCAGCAGTGGTAACCCATTGCTATGCAACTCTGAGAGCAATTGTCCAGTGAGACATAAAGAGAAGACCCGTCACTCTCCTTGGCCATTACATGAACTGTCCAAATGAATAATGTTTATCTTGGGTACACTAGCTGGGCAACGTGCCAGTCCAATGACTTAAAAGTGCCAGTTTTGTAGTCTCTGTCTGAAACACTGGCCATATTCAGAGTTGTCATCCCTCAGCTCCGGACAATGTGGAGTCAATAGATGATGGAGGGAGCTGTCGGGGCGGAGAACAGACGAGCTGCGAGGACAGTGACAAAATAACCCAACACTTCTTTTCAAGTGAGATGATCGGAATCACGTCAACTTTTACGACTCCACCAGCACCAGCCCACCCGGCTAACACACTAGCATAAATCACTGCAAGGCTAACTTACTCCCGTGGTTAGCTCGGTAACTCTCTGCGTGGATAAAGTCCGACCGCTGCATTTCACACAGCGAGCCGCCGCAGCTGGCCCTCCTCGTCCGCTGGTCCCGGACAGACAGAGCGACACACAGGACGCAGTTATGAAAACCCCCGCGTTGCTCTTTCTCCGCTAGCTGGGTGTTGTTTCTCTCGTCGCCTTCCTTCCACAGTGGAGGTTGTCGCTGTTGTCGCTGTATGTCTTATGTTCACACCGACCACTGTTTGTGTCCCAGAATGCAAAGTAACCACAAGCCCACCCCCCGCCACCCCCCGATTTGACGTTCTCGTCCAATCAGAGCGCTCCGTTTGCCATCGCGAGATTTCCGCGAGATTTCGTGACAAATTATGTTTGTTTTGGATCAATTATGTTTGGATGGGTTTTTTTTTCTGCTGTCAGCCACTGTGTGCTGCCACATAAGCAGCGTGAACTACCACAGACCTCCCATGATGTGTGAATTGATTCACTCCCAGATTGTATTCTTTTATTTTGAATTATTTAGATTTAATTTACTTTAATTAATGAGGCTTTCAAATCTAACCACATATCGAGTATCACATAGGTTAAGAATGAGAGGCTTACTCAATTAGAGAGCAGTGGTCGAAGATGCACTTAGATCTTTTACTTAAAACTATCAATACAATATACAACTACACTTTATACACAGGGCCATTAACATTGTGATTAGCTTGCTGAAGTGGAGCTCTAATGATTTTTGTATTGTGTGTTTTTTTCAACCTATACAAAGCATCATATTTTATGAGCAGGTCATGTTTCAACACTAATGTAACTTGAGATGAATGTAATAAAATTAAAAAAAATATTTGTCTGTTGTTGAGTAAATGTATTAAGTAGCATAAAATGGAGACAGTGGGCATACAAATAGGGCTAATTAAAAATTATATTAAAGTACAATAATACAACATTGAGGAAATGTATGTATTTACTTTCTTTTACTGGAAAAATGTGTTTATAAACTATGCTAAACTTAGTAAGTAAAATGAACACCTCAATATCCAAATTCTACAAGTAAGAGTCTTGCACTCAAAATTGTACATAAGTAAAAAACAAACAAAAAATAGTACAACATGTATTAAAAGGCTGCAAAGAGCAGACATTATATAGAATAGCACTTATAAGAGTGTACAGTACAGCATGTTACATTATTGTATTATTTTACTGACATATTAACACACATTTTAATGTAGCTTGTAGGGGTAAAGCTTATTTTAATGGCATTGTATACATTTGGGGTGTTTAATCTATAATATGCATCATATTTTATATGTTGGTTCAATGTTTTATTTACTCTCTACAATATATAAAGTAACTAGCAACTGTAGTTGTAAGATAGGTGTAGTGGAATAAAGCGTACAAGATTTGTCTTTGAAATGTAGTTGATAAACTGCTGAGAACAAACTCCTTCATACAAGTTCAAATACTGTATTACAAGTCAAAGTAAAAGTATTATCAACCAAATGTACTTAAAGTAGGCTTGGTTAAGTTCTAGGAAACAACTGGAAATAACTGTTTGGAATAATTGTCAGCCATGTTTCATGGAAACCATATCGCACTTTAAATGTATAAAAGTCATGAAGTTTTAATTAAAAAAACACGCAGCTTATGATGAGCAGGATTTCCAGTAACAGAGTTTATGCTCATTTCCTGCTACATTCTCTAAGAGCATACAGTATAACATAGTCGCCTGAAGGTAATTTCCCTGTTTGGCATGCTCACCATAAATTCATAATGAGGGGAGTGAAGCAGACAATATGTGCATTCATGCATCTACCACCGCTCACCGCCTGACTCGCACAGCTGTGGGCAAAGAAAGCCCTTAGGTGGTAGTCCTCAAAATACTAGTGTTGCCTCCACTCTCTCAACAGCCCTCTCTCTGAAGTCAGTGCAGACACATATACTGACACAGATGACATCAAATGCATCACACTGAAAGACGCTCATGGTTAGTTTGTTCATATGGCGTTTATTTAAACTACTGTGCTGTTGTAGCTGTCCACTAGATGGAACTGTTGTACAACCAATCTAAGTGTGTTTGTTTGTAGAATTTATAAATTTGGGTTATACTGCATTTATGTGGAAACACTTGACAACAATCTATAATTCATCACCAGGTTTTAATGGGTGTAAAAAAAGACTTTCTGCCATTTAAGGAGCAACCTTTGTGTCTTTGGGGTTTCTCACTAAAGCATTATTTATTTTATTTAATCAACAAAAGGATAATTATGTGTATTTTCTCATATCATTCTTCCAAATGGATGAGGGTGTGTAAATTATAATGTCATTATGTTAAATCAATACAAACAAATAATAACAAACTAGAAATGTCCTGTCATTTAAAGTAAACCACTAAGGTCGATTTAAAAGGAGCCATAAAAACTCTTAAGAGAAGTTTTTAAGGAAAATGCCTGAGGCTGCAGAGAAGACATCAAGCTGAAATGACCTTTTATCTGACCTTTGTATCTTTCAACAAAAACGTAGGTTATATATAGCATTCCTATCCGTGCATATGTAGGCTGTTTATGCTGTTCATTTGGCTCTATGTTATAGATATTGATATATATCTGACATATGTTTCAGTGATAAAGTGTTTGAGTCTGTGCAAAACGATATTAAAGTACAAACAGAATGAAACACATTTGAATCTGAGTTACACTTTGCTGGCTCCATCTGAGATGCGCTGCAGGTTTGGACTCCTCATAGCAGCAACTGGAGTCAAGACTGAGGCGGTCTGTACATGACAGGAAGTTCAGCGAGTTTGCCTTCAAAATAAAAGCTTATAGTTGCAGACAAAGTGGAGGTTTTTGTATGCCTGTTGAAAGAAGCCTCAAAATCATCCGCAGAACAGTTGATCTAACAACACGTGGAGCAAAAGAAGGGCATACAAATGTATAGGTACTTTATATTATTAGCACTCTGGCAGTGTTGAATGGTTAAATTGCGAAGCTTTAATCCGGAAGTCGTGTGTTTTACTCCGACAGACTTGACAGCAGTGCAGAGTGTCTGTCTGACCGGTGGCTTTGATCAGATAAGAGGTTGAAGCGGACACATTCCTCTGCAGTTTGCAAGTGAAGATACATTGTGAATGATGGATTGTTCAGAGGAGCTGCAGTGTGTATCTGAGGAGCCCAGTGCTCAAATGGAGCTAAAGAAGGGGATGTCGATTTTCATTGATGTAAGTAAAACAAATCCTTACTTATAGTACAAAATGTATTTCATCCTCACTATTCATGCTTACACTTTGTTAGGATTTCAGATTAAGTGCAAAAACTTAAGCATAAAGTGGGACTATAATATCATTTTATTATATATATTATAGCTTATAGCAGGAAAAAAAACAGTCAAGGAAGCTTTTCAGGATATATGTTTTATTGCATTTGAAGAAATAGATGCATTTTACATTTCACATCTAAGTTTGAGTGATTAATAGTGTTGGAGGTTTTGGAGCAGATAAGTTAATGTATGCAGGGTACAGAGGGTTCCTTGTTTTAGAGAATGAATTAATTTGACAGGGCTGACCTTTAATTTTGCTTCATCGTGTAAGGATTTCAAAGGCTGGTCATCCATCTTTATGTCAGTGTTCAAAACCAAATATCAAGTTAATAAAATCTCTGAAGGATACTGATTTGATAAAGTCAGAGTGTTATTCGTGCTGACCTCACTCAATCTAATCTGGCTCTATTAGGCTAAAAATAATATTAATATCTAGAAAATGTTTTAATCTAAAAAGTCTATTTTTGTCAATTATTCTATGAATAATTGAATACTATAAGAATTCCCTACATTTGTAGACCTCCCTCAGATGATGAGGATTTAAATATTTAAATCTTACATGAATATCAGTACAGCTAATGATCTTCCTCAAGTGCTTCTCTCTCAACAGCTTTCCCTCCCCTGTTTCATTCTGCCTCAGCACCCACCACCTAATTACATTTCCCTCGTTCCTCCACTCTTCCATTCGCTTGTGATGTCTTTACCATAAACCTGTTGGCTGCCTTCAGTGTTTGGGAAACACAGGGGAACCAGGAGTTAATAAAGATGGAAAGCCTTATCCACCACATGAAATGTCTCACTAATAGTGAACAGGTGCTCTTCTCTGAGTCTCAGGGAATAAAAACCATTATGTCTTCAGAGGCGAGATGGTCGACCGAGTGTTGCCTCTGTAGTCTTGACATCTCGCACAGCTTTCGCCTCAGTCGGCTGTGTCATTAAAACACATATTCTGACTCCGAACAGGTTGGATGTGCTGTGTGTCCATGTGTGTTTTTCTTCCTTGTTTTTATGCTGTTGTAGTGTCAGATTTCCACTTTATTACCATATTATAAAATCTAGATTACAGATTACAAAATCGTAAAATTAATGTTTTATCAAATTAATTTTACTTGTTAGATGTAAAAGATTAATTAAGATGAGATGAGAGAAGATGATGAGATTTTTAATTACAGGGTTCAAAACAGTGGAGTTGTCAGTATGAACTGGTATCTGAATAACTAAACCCAATCAGACCACAATTATAAATTATTTTCTGTATATAGTTGGTATAATTTGTGTACACATTAGTTAATGATAACAGGAAGAACAGTCGCCCTGTACAAAGCAGGATTTTCAGAGCAGATAAATGTAGGGTTGCAAAAATTAAATATGATTATTTTCACAATAATAACTGTAACATAAAAAAACGTTCCTTCTGTATTGTCTTAAAGTTAAAGATGATGTCATAAAATGTCTGACTGGCAGTCCAAAAGCCAAAAATATAAAATTTACTATAATTTGAGATGAGAAAAAATAAGCCAATTCTCACATTTAAAAAGCAGAAACAAAATAAATGTTTGACTTTATTAATCAATTATTGAAATAGTTGTTGATTAATCATTTGCCAATCAACTAATCAATGAATGAGCTCATGATCGTGATGTGAAGTGATGATTGATTGTTTTAACTTGATGTGATTGACAGTGCCTTTTTTCCCTTATTTATTTGCGTGTCTATTTGTTGACCTGCTGCTGTGTGTTGCCTTGTAGAGATATAAAGTTGTATTTGGTGTAATTGATTGGTCATAAATTATAGATGAGTAACAGGTAGAGACAGAGAGGAGTTTATAGATTGGGGACAGCAATCAAAGAAGCAGTAAAGACTGATTAGCAGGAAACGCTGAACGAATTATGTAAGCCTTAGCACACGACAGACTGCCAAGAGCTAGAG